ATACGGCTCGTTTATTATTAAATCATGGTGCACAAGTTAATATGACATCAACAGAATCAACAACACCACTTCATTGGGCATGTCGAGCAAAACATACAATACAAATAGCACAAGATCTTATTGAACATGGTGCATGTATTAGTGCACGTGATCAACTTAATATTCAACCAATTCATTATGCATGTTGGGCAAGAAATCAAAGCTTAATTGAACTTTTACTTTCAAAAGGTGCACAACTTACTGATGAAGATAATTTCGGTCGAACACCAATTCATTTTCTTTGTATGCCAACATATGTTGAAACAATAAGCACGGAAGATCAAGAACAACAATATGATTTAATGAAATTTATATTAAATAAATATGAAAAAAATAGTCATCTTATTGATTTAACAAAGGAAGATAGTCAAGGTCATACATTGATAGCATATGCATGTGTTAGTCAAAATCTTTCACTATTGGAACTTCTTCTTGAACATCATCCTGATTTATTAAATAAACCAACTAGTGATGAAAAAACACCATTAATGATTGCTATTAATGAAAGTTTTATAAATGGTATTGAATATTTACTTAAACAACCTGGCCTTGAAAGAAATGTTTGTGATAAAGCCGGTAATACAGCTATACATCATGCATGTATGTGTGTAAATACTTCAATGCGTGAAACTGTTCTTCGATTATTAATTGATGATACAAATGGTACATTTGATCTTGAAAAACGAAATGAACAATTAATTGATCCATTCATGGTATGTACAGTAAATCAATCAATTGATTTGTGTCGTTTATTAATTGAAAAAAATGTTACATTAACAAAAAAAGATCTTTTTTCAAGACAACCTCTTCATGTTGCATGTCAAATGGGTAATTATGATTTAGTATCATTACTCATACATTCTCCAAATGTAAATATAAATGCAATAGATGATAACAATCGAAACTGTTTATTTTATGCAATAAGTTGTGGTGATGAAAAAATTGTTGATTTATTACTTGAAAATAATGTAACTATTAAAATTCGAGATCGTGTTGGTGATACACCATTACATTTAGCTGTACAACATAAAACAAATGCATTTAAATTAACAAGTAGCCTTTTAGAAAAACAAGATGGAAAGGCTTTAATTAATGAACCGGCAGCTGATGGAATGAAACCACTTTTATTAGCAGCAGAAGGTAAACAACCAGAAGTTGTTTATCTTTTAATTAAAAATGGTGCTGATGTTAAAGCTGTTGATAGTGAACACCAAACAGCATTACATTTAGCATGTAAAAGTGATTGTATGAAAAGTGTTTTTTATCTTATTGAATTCGGAAATTTAAATGTTAACGAACTCAATTGTTATCGACAAACACCAATATTTCATGCTTATGCTGTTAATGATTTTGATCTTGTTCAATATCTTGTATCATGTGGTGCACGACTCGATCTTCGTGATAGTCAAAATTATTTACCAATTCATATGGGCTTAATATTATCTGAACATGAAGATTATAATTTGAATCTAATTGATCTATATAAAAATAAACATGTGAAATTACTTGATGATGAAAATAATGAATGTCACATGACACCCTTAATTTTAGCATGTATGCAAGGTAAATTTAATGTTGTTAAACATTTAATATTAAATTACAAAGTAAATGTATTGGCAAAATGTTCAAATGGACATACACCATTACATTATGCTTGTTTACTAAAAAACTCAAAAGCATTAGACATAATTGAGTTTTTAATGGACCATGGATGTACATATGAAAAAGTTGATCAACCAAAAGGTACATTTTTATTTACAATCACTCAACATGGTGATCGAAAAGCTGCTATGTTTTTTATCAACCATTGGCTTGTAAGTTAATGTTTATTTTTTTGAAATATGATCCAAAACACTTTTAAAAAAGTCCTCTTTCCTCTGTTACATATCATGACAAATACTATAGTATAACTACTACCTTCTCCTGGATTAGAAGACATAAAAGTCTACTGCGAAATTTATATAAAAGACAGTTGAATTTAAAATACTTTAGTCAAGGATTATGGCGTTCAGCTCTATTATTTCTAAAACAGAAGTAGATATGGGTATGTTGGTCCTGAGAGGATCGAGACCAACACCTACTCATTGAAAATGATATCTTTTATGATCATGTAAGACTTGCATCAAATGTCATATTCTCCTAACTTATATATTCTAAAATTTTATGTGAAAATTATTGAGTAACGATTATTTCAATATTTGCTTTTATGATTTTGATAGTAAAATTAATCCTTTCTTTTTTTTTTTTTATTAACAACAAAGTTTTCGAAAATATAAACGTGCAGAATAAACAAACTATTAGTAATGAGTCTCCAAAAGAGAGAACATTAAAGGTAATGCAGATGTCCCTAGCGCATGGACGTAGCTAGAATATTGAGATTGCATTTTGCACTAGTACGTGTATTACTAAGTGTGAAACTAGAACCAAAAACTATTAGTTCTACCTATCATTAGTTAGAAGACTTCAGAAAACGATAGAAACTTAAAAGCAGTGTTATAACGATTATGCCTGACGGCCGGCTCTGTAAGGTTAAGGCCGTTTCCAACCGAGTGTAGCAGAATTCGATGATTCGACCCGGACATCATATTTCCTGTTTTCATCTTTCGCCCATTTTTTTGAAATATTTCAAGCAAAACCTACCGTACATTATTCATATGTGTAGCTTTGCTTTTTCCTTGTTTCATATTGAATATACAAGGATAATCATCTTTTATTTTTGCCATGCATCAATAGTACATGGAAATTTTACAAACTGAAATTTATGTTGATTTGTTTTTATTTTAGAAAAAAAATCCTAATATTAATGAAATACATTATTGTGCAACAATTCTTGATCTTCTTTTTGATCGTGCAAATATGCAACATCATGATATTGATACTGAACATCTTCGTGATTTACTAGAAAAGGGTGCTCATTTATTTTCATCAAGATTACCAACATTTCCATGTCCATTAATAAATGATTGTCCAGCTTTTTATTTAATTTTACTTGAATACAATTGTGTATCAATTGTTGATAAGAGTAAATTTATTTTTCAAATTTTACATTCAGTTTCAACACATCCAGAAAATTACATATTATTAAATGGAAAAGATACAGAATTTATTACTGTTTGTGACTATATATTGAAAATTGTTCAATTGGCACGTTATAATTATGGTATAGAAAACTTTTATTCACTTGTTGATAAATATTGTTTACCTGAACTTAATGCTCAACAACCAAGTGAACAAGTCGAAGCACTTCGAAAACAATTAGATACTTTCAGATCAACTCCATTGAAATTATCTGAAATAGCACGGAAATTAATTCGTATTAAAACAAATATTCCAATGAAAAAGAAGTTCAAACAATTGGGTTTAACTCGACATCTTGAAGAATTTCTTTCACAATCAACATTTTAAAAAACTAATATTAATCATGCTTGTATATGCTATATGAATGATTGATGTTATTTGTACTTTTTGTGAATATTCAATAAAATTGAAATAATTTTAACTTGTGTTTTTTTTTTATCAATATTCAATAATATTGAAATTATTTTTTTTCACATCTCGTTTGTGAACACTTAAGAGAAACTACACAAGCCCATCGAGAAAGTCGATTTTATAATCAAAATTAAGATATACCGTTTTCTTACATTGGTCAATTCCTAACATTAAAACTAGAGTTATGAAAAAATTTTTGACTTTGATGATCTGATTCGATAGACTTTAGGCATTGAAATATGAGGAACTCCGAGAAATACGAAAAAGAAAGGCTATCTTGTCGTTGTGCTGCTTATACTTACATAATTTTCTGTTCATTTTGTTGCAGTAACATGTCATTTGAAAGATTACATAAAATTGAACGAAAACGTCTAGAATAGATTTCTGATAAAGTCAGGTCTTGATATAAAAGAATTAGCTTTTGTAAAAAAAAAACAAACTGTACTTTTATTAAACTGACATTTTCCGATTGTAACTCAGTTTTGAATATGACTATTAATCAAGTAAGTCGACGCAATTTCTGATGCTGACTCAAAATATTATATCGATTTTGATCAAATCCTAATTTATCGAAGTGAAATCTGCTAAAAAGCAGTCGAAAGGGCACAATTATACACCTTAGAAATAATGCACTCCTGCCTTCTCTGAGATTTTTTTTTCTTAAAATCTTTAAAATGATTTCGTACAGTACAAAATTCTCGAGGTGTACTATATTAAAGTTGCGCTTTGATTAATGATCATATTCAAAACTAATTTACAATCGAAAAAAGTCAGCTTAACTAAAGTGAAGTTTTTCAAAAAAGCTAATTCTTTTTTATCTCAAGATCCAACTTTGCAGAGATCTATCCAAGACATTTTTGTTCAGTTTTATGTAATCTTTCAAATGAGATGTTGCTAAAAAACAAAATGAATAAAAAAATGACGTAGATATAAGCAGATCAATACAAATAAATTATATCACAGAACTCTAAGAATTTATTCGTAACTCTAGTTGAATGGTAGGAATTGATTGACGTAAAAAAAAACAGTACGTCATAATTTCAACTATAAAATGACACTGTTGATCAATGGTCGATCGCTTGACGAAATCTCTTTTGACTTTTGTTTTTTTTTTTCAATTTGAGTACATCACCTTGAAAATAGTTTTTCTTATCGAAGAATATTATTGATCCCTAATGATAAATTTACGCTCGAGGAAACTAATTTTTTTCTTAATCAATAAACAAAAAGGAATTCATCTGACATAGAACTAAAGAGATGAAAGAAATCACAAAAAATCAATACTTTATCGTAACAATAATTTAAACAACATCAACAAATCTGAACAAGTCACACTAATTTTATGCTGGGAATGTATAAAAAACATGATTGATTTCTCACAATGTATGAAAGAAAGCGGAATTATTTGTATTTATGTACAAGAAATGGAATAGATAAATGCAATTGAACAGAATGAAATATAGCTGATATCACTATTCTGGAGTAATACATGCATGAAAACTTGATTCATTTGGATTTGTCATAAGCGATGGAAGAGTACTTTGTCCACCGTATTCATTTTGTTCTTCATCAAGTCGAACACGATTTTCATCTTTTTTAATAAGATTTGGATTTTGAGCATACAACTCAGCACCCCTAACAATATAAATTATATTATTAAAACAATAAAACTATATCGCAAAAAAAAGAGTACACACCAATACATTTGTTGCACTAAATACCGACATCGTTCAAGTTGAGCACGAACATTACGTGGTACACGTGAAATGAGGTTTCGAACAAGAAAAAGAATACTATACACAAAATGCTAAAAATAAAGTTCAATCATATATTGAATCAAATATCTGACGAAAATAGTTAAAATCTTGGACAGCTGATTGTTGCCCGCGCAATCGTGTCTAAACGCGAATTGTTCCATGTAATATGAACGGAGAAGATCAAGTTGTTGTCTCCACTGTTCTAAACAATTTCTTTATGATTGTAAATGTAATTCGTCGTATCTTAAAATCATTGTCACATGACGATTCATTTGATTTAGTAGCGATTATCAATGAGGAAGATATCCGACGCTGTTCTCAGTTTTCAAAGATATTCTAGTAGCAGTCGTTCCTTGTTTATCTCTTGAAATCAACTCATTGTCAATCGACTTTTTTTTCATAATTATTCATCCTCTGCACTATATCTATTCTTGTTTGTTTTTTTTAAGGACGCTACTTCGTTTTTATTATTTTTTTTGCCTTTTCTCTTTTGTTTTTCTGTCTCTTTTTTTTTCTTTATTGTCTTTTTTGTTGGCGGTATCGTACATATCATCCTAACGGATGCACGTGTTGTTAGACAACTACCGCTTTCCAACCGTCTTGTCCAGAAGGTTTTAACATAGCAAATAGAATTTTAAAAAAAATGTAATCATGATTATGATATCGAAATAAATATTCAGCAAAAACAATGCTTTACTTCAAAAATAATAACAAATGCCAATCGTGCCACCATTACATAATAAAACATATATGAACGTCCATAATTTCGTGTATGATCCTATATAAAGGCAAAACAACTAAACATGAGTTATTCATATATAATTCTTACAAGTCGATAATCTTTATAATAACAAGTAGAAAAATCAATTTGTGAACGTATTTCATTAGCTAATGTTGAATTACAATCAAAATATGATAAATGATATGATTGAGCAAATGGTATAAAAAATATTGATTGTTTAGATAAATCAATTAAACGTGATTCAATAAATTGACATTCAAGTAATGTACGATTAATAATTGATGGAAAATCACTTGAATGAAATGGTGCTAATGTATGATTAAGAAAACCATTTAATGAATAATTTCCAATAGTCCAATAATAAACTTGTCGAGGTATATATTCAGATGTAATTGCAATTAAAAATGCATTTGATAAAACAGTTATTTTAGCCATTATAGTTAATATTGCATTCCATGTACCAATACCCATAGCACGACGTGCAACAGGTCGACGAAATTCTTTAACAACTTTAAGTGCATCAATACGTATTTCAAATATATTATTTATAAAAGCAAATAATGGTGCTAATGGAAATGATAAACAAAAAAAAGTTATAAAACCAAATTGTAATATAATTTCTAAATATTCATAAAATAATGTTGTTAATTCGAATGGTTGTAATAAAAAATCTTCTTCATATGAACGTTTTAAATTAGTTATTGATATTTGTTCATCCATTTGTTTCATTTTAGCATTACGTAATTTTATTTGTCGTACTGTATGACGAAATTTAATACGTTTACGACACATATTCCATAATTTAGAAAAATAAAATTCCCATATATTTGATATTAATTGTTTACCAATCATTATAATTATTAATTGAATTGATAATTCCCATACACAACCACTTACATCACATTCTTCAAGACGAAATGCTTTTGAATGTCGATCAAGATATGTTGGTTTATATATAATTAATGGTTTTATTAATGCTATATAAAATATACTTGCATAATAATTTACAAATTGAAATAAAAACATTTTTATTGTTAAACTTGCTTCATAAGTTTTATCAGTACGATGTAATTCAACATTTGTTAACCATATAGCAAGAATTTCATAGAAATATTGTAAAATTAGAATTATAACTAAATTGATTAATGCTAAATAAGAAAATAAAATTTTTTTCAAGAATAGTTCAGTTTTCTTAGATTTTTCTGATTTTTTTTAACCGAGTTTTCTAAATTTTGACGACCAAAAAGACATCGTCTATACATGTCAAAAATAACATTACAAGTAATTTAATGCGGTCTATTCCATAGTGACATAAAAGCGCCAAAAAAATCTTTGCTCAAATTTACAATTGCAGGTATCTTATAAAAATCACAAGGATGTTTCAATTGAAATCCCTTTCAAATTATTGCTCTTAATTTTCAATATAGAAAAAAGAAAATTTTCTATAGGATATAAGTATGAGAAGTTAATAAAGTTTATTATGCCATACTTATATGTAAAACTTTTTAGAGGAGTCAATGACCATGATTCTTTATCAACCAAGAAGCAGCCATAACACTGCACTTTAGAATTCTTTAAGAAAGGAAAAGATGCTGAACACTGATAAAAAGTTATACTTGAGAGTCTTCTAGAACACTTGAGAACATTTCAAGACTCTACTTAAACTCTAAATGACCATAATACTTTCTTGAATTTTGATGCAGATGAATGGTTGTATAATAGATCAATACGCGATATTTCTATTTTTATCTGAGCATAGAAAAGGACGTTGAAATCTATTCTATATTTCTTAAATGTTTGTACACAACAAGTCAACCAGAAAAAGTAAAAATAATCAGAAATTAATGTAAATAAGAAAGCTCATTGCAATATAATGAATACAATATAATGCACTAGTAAAGGAAAACAAAAGAAACTCTTCACTTTACACATTTTATATTAGTATAACGATCCTGCAAAAAAGATATGTAAGCTCCACATTTAACTCATTAAAGGCTTCATTAGTACACTTCTACATATCTGTCAAATCTAATAAGTTTCAATTGCTTTTGCTGATTTCAATTTAACTTCTATAAATAAACAAACTGAATTTTTCCTTAACAATATCGAAATTTAAATAAAGAAATAAATTATTTTTATAAGAATTTGATTGATTAAATTTCTTTTTCAATACCTCCAGTTATTGGAACAATAATTGGTTTCCATCGATAAATCCACATTTGTCGATCAATTGAATTAAATGCTGCTGAAACACTTAATCTAATCAAAATTAATTATTCACAATCAAAATTAAAAACAAAAACAATATTGATTATTACCGATAAATAACAATACCAGCAACAACAGCTACAACTAGTAATACCATTAATAATACAATTGAAAACGATGATCTAAATAAAAAAAACAAATGATTTATTTGATATTAAATTGAAAAATTTCAATTGAAAAAATGTACATACGTATAATAAAGAATTCTTTTATAAGCTGGTACATATGGTTCAAGTTTGTCAGTTATTTGATTTACAATTTTTTTTTCAACACGTCGTTCAAAATCTGGTCGTAATGTTTCAGTTTCGTCGGTAATATCCGTCTAATAAAGAAAAAAACAAAACAATTGATTCTCATGAAATACAATCAATAATTTTTCTTTATTACCATATCCCATTCATATTGAAGTCGAAATTCATGTCGTTGCCAAAGGAAATTAACACTTACAGCAAATATACTTATCATTATAGCAAAAGCTACAGAAGCTGAATTATCAAATATATAAGACATCTAATGAGAAAATAATTAATTAATTTTTTAATTTGAGATCGTTTTTTTTTCATGTTTTTATACATACTTTTGCATTAAAACAAGTTTCATTTATAAACCAATATGATTGTCGATCCTAAAGTCAAAAAAACACAAATTCAGTTTACTACAAAATTTTTTTCTTTACAAGTTTTGGACACATTAAATAACTAGAAGTTGAATTACATATATCAAGTGTTGGTCTATCATATTTAACTGACAGAAGACCCCATAAAAGAACAAATATCCCAAGAATTGACGGAATTATTAATAACGAATTATACCATCCAAGCCAAGCAAAATAAAATGCTAAACGTTCACCATAATAATTTCTAATAGCATGAATTGGTTGAATACGAAATATGTTGCTAAATTTTGCCCAACGATGATATAATTTCTTAAAAGAAAGATTTTCAATTTATCATAAATATATATCAAAGTCAAAAAAAATCAGACATAAGACCAGACGCCATTCTATACAAGAAAAATCTTAGCTTTAGAAATCTTACATTTAATCATACTACACTCTAAAAAAATAGGTTTCATATCGAATCTTTTTAAGTTTGGCAAGAACTACGAAATCTAGAATGATTCTTTATCTGGATATTCTTTCGAAACTTTTGCTACAAAACTATTTAAGTTTGTATGAATCATTTAGGTTATATCACGAAACCTATCCGGTTTCCTATTTTGTATACCGAATTTTTTCATTCTACAGATCTTAAAAAGATTTCGTAGCAAAAGTGTCAACAGTACATCTGAATGACAAACTATTATAGATTTCGCAAATCTTGTCGAATTTAAAAAGGTTCAGTATTAAAGCAATACCATTTTAGCAAGTAAAAGATTCTTTACAGATTTTATCACAACATTAAGTTTTTTATAATCTTATTATACAACTTACGACAGAAGTCCTTCAATTAATTAATCGTATTCGAGTCACGACTAAAAATTGATTTTAAAATTTCGACTTAAAACTTTGGGTAGGGACAGACCTTAAAGAAAATAGAGTTTTTTGAAAGTTTCACATCTTGTTGCTGTTGCTATCTGAAGAAATAACTATGATGATAGTGTTCATTTTACATTCTTCAGATAAACAGGCAGATTTTGTCTTTCGAGTTCAAGATAGAAGCAAACTAATAGATCTGAAACTTTCATAATAAACTGCTCTTCTTAAGGTGTTTCTATGCAAAACTTTAAGACAAAAATTTGAAAATTATTTTTCTAGTGCTCCTGCATTCATTTGAAAATACTATAAAAGTGTAGGACCTTCGCAGTAATAAACTACGAGAGTGAACTCTTTTCAAAGTATTCATAGTTCATTTCAATCTACATTATTCAAAAATTTTTGAACTCAAATATGATTTATCAGTTTGAGAACTTTCCTCGTAAGCATAAAATTTCTGAAACTATCATGTTAATCTTATCCAACAAGATTTTAACGTCTGATTGTTGAATTCAGATATAAATTTACCATTCGATCATTCCATGCTTCAGGTTCACCAGCATCTTGTTTACGAATAAGTTGATCATGTAATGGATATGCTGCTTCATATACACCTTCTTCAAGTAATACTTCAATACCTATAAAGAGAAAATTTCTTATAAACATTATCCGAATAATCATCCAATGGCATGCAACGGAAAAAACTAAACAGAAAACAATTTAATCAAATCAAATGATATCTATAAGCAGATGCTAAGCAAGTGATAAATACTAATGAAAGAACGTGAACAATCTATCAACCACAAATACTACTTGTTTCTTTTTAATTACCTGTATCTTTCGTTCCTAAAAGTTTAATTAGACAATTTACTAATTTGAAAAAAAACAAAAGAAGTTTAATTAAATAAAATCATACCTGATTGTCTTGTACTTGATGTAAAAACTTCTTCAATTTTTAATGTTTGATTTTCGCTTGCATGTAGTTGTCGATTTTTTGTAATGATATTATGATTTATTATTCTTGAATCTGTTTCTGATGCTTCACTTCTTCTGTCATTCAAGGCTGAAAAAGAAAAAGAAATTAAACTTTTTTTTTACTTCTATATTCCACTTGAAAAAAAAATCAAACGAGCTTAATTAAAAGGCAAGTGTTAAAACTACATATCACACAATGCTTACGGTCATCAAAAAATAAAACAAGCCGGTTGCCTAGACAAATTAGTCGAAATTTTCAATAGAATTTCATAGTTTTTTTTCTTTTAATTTCAAAAGAAAAGAATTAAAAAGTACAATGATTAAACTTACTTGGCGACATTGAGTCTGATGGTTGATATGGACAACGAAGAAGAGTTTCATAAACAAGACGACTTCGTTCAGCTGGACGAAAAACTTTATCAACATCATCAAAATATTTGGCAAATCTATTCAATGCTATATAAAAATATATTTATATTATATTCTACACAAACCTGTAATGAAGACTTTTTTGATAACAAGCCGTAAAAAAAGATTTTCCATTATGTGATTTAGGAAATTCACGTGCATTAAGACGAGTTAATTGACATGGTAAACCTTGATCAAATAAATCGGGTTTTAATGGTGATTTATTTTCACTAAATGGTAATTTAACTTTTAATTTTTCTGCCTAGATAAATTAAATAATCAAATCAAAATTTTCTTTTTAAATTTTATCTTACTAATACAAGAAGTACTTCAAATGGTGCATGAATTTTAACAAAATATCGTTCATCTTGTTCTATTTCATTATCATGTTCATTTGTTGTTTGAGATTTATTCTTGAAAAAAAAAATATGAAATTAAATTAATTTTTATATTAATTATAGTTCATTTCAGAATTAAATGATTGTGAGCATTGTTTTGCATAGTCTTAAAAGAAAAAGAGACAAATAACTCGCATTTTAATACGATTCTAGAGTTGGCATCGATCTACGTTTTTACAAAGTCCATGAAAAATTTCAGTCTCTTTTCTTCTTGAATACGTCATGCATTTTAAAGATAATCTTAATACACTTTGAAAACAATATTCTATCTAGATTATATTACAATGGGAAGATAGTCTAACTTATTCTCTATCGATCTATATAAAGCTGATATTGATAATGGTTTATTGGAAGCCATACATAGATTTTTTTTGGTTATAGTGCATCAATTTTTTCAGAAAATTTCTTTAAATCTTCATTTTATTGATGCTTACATTAGAATCATTTTTTCTGAATCCAAATAGGTCAACCGAATATAACTTTAACAGATTTATGTAAATTCACTATAAAAGTCATAAATCATCAACATTATTTGTACTATAAATGGTATAATCATCGTTCATTGTCATTATCATTTTGTTCGTCTTCAATCTCTTTTGATATAAACATCGACCTTTTTAATTGATGTCTTACATTATTTGACGTCACTGCTCTAACTAGCTGTTGTTGTCGCACCTAACTCATGAACTCATTCTTGGACCAATATACTCATTTTAGTAAAAGTAAAGTTCGTGTTTCTATCATGTATATCTTTGTCTATTGTTCCAGGCTAACTCTATAGAATTCAAGGTTAGACATGTTTGAAATTGAGCTCTCGAGCAAACTTAAAATGCCGAGACTGGAAACAAAGAAACTTCAATAGTGTAAACTTGAAGATTGAATTCAATTGAATAGATACTATTCAATTTTCAAGTTTCTAATTTCAATAGTTTGTGTTTCTGCGGTATCCATGTTACGACCGTGGCTTTGTTCATTAGAAACTCGAAACTTGAAATTCAACTTTTCAAGGTTCAACTTTTTTTCAATTGAGTTCAAGTTTCACATTTCATATATATATATAATATATCCAAGAAGAAAAGTGACTTAAATCTTTCACCGACCCTTGAAAAAAATGTCATCAATCATTTAACTCTGAAATGGACATTAGAATTTAATAATTAACATACTTTTGATTCATTTTCATTTTCATGTTTAATATTATCTGTTGAATTATTTAATTTTATAGTTTCTTCTTCATTAATTGTATCAATTTGCATTCCATTTGTATTATTATTTTCGTTTGTATCTTTTTTTAAATGTGAACTAATATTTTGTAAACGTATTGATACCTGTCGTTGTAAGGTTGAAAAACCACGAACCAATACATGATTACTTTCATCATTATCATTATTATCATGAACATCAGCTGATGTTTCAGCTTGACGTAAATTTAGAAGATCGTTTTCCTAATAGAAATTTTTTTTATTTTTTTATTATAAAAAGAAACAAAAAGTTGTTTTTCTAAATTTACTTCATCAGTTAATCGTTCTTCAACAACAATAAAACCTAATTTTCTGAGACGATCTTGAAAAAATTGTCTATATTGATCATGTTGTTGACGTTTAAATTTCTGACTTCGTCGAAAATGATTTAAATGATAACGTGTATATACAAGAATATAATCAATTGGAAGATATTGTCCATCATGATGTATATATTTTGATAGATCGATATGCATTAAGCTTGTTTTATTAGGATTATGATCCTAATCAAAAAAAGACAAAAAATTATAATAATAACATGCATAACAAAAAAAAAACAATATGAATTAATAAAATCTTTATCATGCGGAAAAAAAACTATAAATTTTAATGACATATCCTTGAATTATTTGAATAGATCAATCGGAAATAAATGTATCGTTTTTGACAATCACTATCGTTTGATTAAATATTAATCAGTTAGAAGCAAAATATATATGTGTGAATACTTACAGAATTAATAAGAACTTGATGGTGATGATGATGATGATGATGATTGTTATTCACATTCATTGCTCGTCGTTCACCTACAAAATTATATTGATCGAGGTTATTTTTATTATAACTATTAGAATATGCTATATTCTAATACTGGAAACAAATTGAATAATTTCATCTATAGTCATTGATTAGTTATTCTATTTAAAAAAACTCGTGTATTTGTCTATTGGGAAAATATTTTATAACATAATAGATTATGTTAGATTCCTCATTATTTTGAGTTTCGAATGTTTTATTAAGAAGCCTACAGGAACGGATGTATCAGTAACTGCAAAATGATATTCTAAAGACAAATAATAACGATGAATAAGAACGACAAAACAGCATCATACTAATGTAAAAACAAACGCATGAAAACAAATAATATTCATTCCATCAATCTATTCTTTCCTTGAGCATTCTCTCTTTATATTTCTCAATCGCAACTATGAGCGATAGTAAGTGGCTCTTCACATTTTTTTTCCTATTCTTCAGCATTTTACATTTGATCCTTGTCTCACACCATCATTCTTATCAATAACTAGACATACAAAGAGATAAGTGAAGACAACGGTCTACTAACTGTTTGATAAACTATCCCAAAAAAAAAAAATTTATTCTTAATTTCTGATCATATAGAAATGAAGCATTTGTTCAACACGATGTAAAAACCTCATCGAATTCAATAGAACAAAAAACAAATTATTATTTTCTTTTTTGTTACAGAAATCTTACCATTCATATTGTGATTTCCATTTATTAACGAATCATCTGGTCTTATTTGTTTTTCTGTTTGAAATATTTCGTTTTCTTGAGCAAGTTCTTAAAACAAATAAAAACAAACTTTTTTTTTTAATTCTTTTTCTTCAATAATAAACAGAAAAAAATGAAGCAAGACACATTAAATATTCATGAAAGTAAATGAGCGGCTTCCTAGGTAGGTGATGAAACAAGCATGATCAGCAAGAAAAAAAAAGATTTTATTTATTGGAATACCCAAAACGGAATGACATGAATAAAATGATTCGTGAGAGTCGTGAAGATTAGATACATTATGCCGATTCAATTCTGGAAGAATAAATAACAAATAGAAAGTAATACATATCTGTAAAATATCAAAATTCTCGTTTGTTTTTTCTTTTGGATATTGAAAAATTTTATCGAGATTTTATTTGACGAAAAAAAAAAACAAAGTCTTCTTAAAATACATACGCTTTAATTCATCTTCAGGTGTTGTTGTAGAAGTTTTATTAAATAAAAATGAACCTAAAATGTTAAAATCAACATATTAATTTCATATATAATTAATAAAATAATTATTTTACGTAAAATATTCATGACGTCAACATTTCGTCATCATAAGAATAGTTTACCTATCAGGGTTTATATAAAATCAAATAGTAGCCACCTTAAAAAAATATCTACGATTTAGTATTCTGATTGATGAATCATTAACAAATGAATACACAAAAAAATATAAATTTGAACAAGGGGTATATCCAGTATCTTTCTTTTCTTTGTATAGGTAAAATGAAATTGATAGTGATAATCAAATGCGACAGATGCAACCATTCATTTTCTTTCCGAAAAAGAAATGGTTAAGTTATGTTTATTTGAATAAGGATAAAAATCAGAAGATGGCGTGAAACGATGGTTAAAAACTGTAACAACATATATTGTCCAGGTTTTCTTTAACTTCATTATTCTCGTAAGTAAAGAAAATAAAAACATAAGGAATCCACTCAGATTCAGTAATTGGTAAATACTTGAAAACTGGCATTGAATATGTTTTCATAGGTTCGCTAGTTAAGCATTCAAAATTTAGTATTTACACTAGGATGTTTTCCCGCTTTGACAAGTACACGAGTGGACTAGCCACAAAAAGAATAAGCATATCTAATACCATAATTACTTCTTTTAAACATTAGAAATGTCCTCGTGTAACTAAATGTAGATTGTGTAACGATAACGAACCGTTACACTTGATTTATTCTGTTTTCTTTCTTTTTTATGATCTCTTTCTTGTAGTGTTGATTTTGACGATGTATGCTCAATTTTTCTCTTCTGTTGTATGAGTACTATAGAAGTATGTCCTCTTAATGATATAGACATGATCGAAGTGATTAAATAATTCAATAAACATCTATGCCGAGAATGTCGACAATGCTATTCTTCCAGTTCGTTACAGATCAATAAATAATTTCAATCTTTGATGAAATCATGTTATTCTGACAATTTTACATATTATTTCGCTCTTCACTCCTTTTTATTTTCGTCAGTACAATGTGTACATTTCTTAGACCTGATTGTATACCCCTGGATAAAGTTGCAATGAGCAATTTATTTCTTCGAACTAATCACTCATCATATCATTTATGTCTGTATATATTCTGCATTGGAATAGCGGTGTAGAGAAATCAGATACATAAAGAATGAGAAAATATCATTCACTTCTGATCATCAATGAATTGCTTATCACAACTATTTCAATAAGTGATCGATCAAGTTTGATTGAAAGATGCGTTGCAATGATGAATCAATGTAATTACTGGAGAAATTCACAAACTAACTGAGCAATCACTGTTGATCATTTGAACGAAAATATCTGCTTTATACTCGACTGTATTTAAGAATGTTTTGTTTTGCACATCATTTTAGTCCTTTGGAATCAAGAAAATATATATTCTATATCGAATTAGTAATCATTTATTAGGATGAATGAAATCTTTCTTTGATTTTGTACATTCTGTGACAGTTTCATATTGATTTGTTCAACAGGTGAAATTTTTGGATAAAAAAAGAAACTATTCAGATCATGTATTCATTTTACCGGAGCGAATGGCATTTCTAATTTTCATGATGATTGTTTTTGTAGACATCATACGATTCAAAAACGGGTTGTCGTTCCAATAGAATGGTTTTTATCAAGTAAAATTTGAAAATTAATCTTTTCTTATAGAAAAAAAATCAGTTTGCAACAACAATATTTAAAAATTGACAAATAGACATTTTCAAGTTGTCAAGAGACCATCATCAGAGCTATTATAATTCTTTGGGGAGTCGAGTTTTAACCATCAATTCTACTATTCATAATAATCAAAGTGATGTGTTTTCTGTAATAGTTTTCACAACAATCATGAAGCTGTGGAAGCATGGAAGACAAAGTTTTGATTTCTTCATTCTTGAACACTCCTCTCCTTTTTGAACTCACCTACATATAGTTCATAATGTCACTTACTTTTTTATATAGTTTATCTTCATATAGTTGAATAAGATTCATATCAAGGTTTGTGTTTTTGATTAGTTAAAAATGTTTGGAAGGTTCTATTTCGTCGACGCTTTTGAATTGTATTGGTGACTGGTCAAACAATGTCTAAAAATTTACAGTTTCACTTTTGTTTTTCTTTAAATAGGTTAAGTTTTATGCTTATGAAAATCTATTGACTACTTTCATAAATTCACTTAGAATCTAATTTATTTTGTCATATTCATTTTGATTCTTTTAATGAAATCAGGAAAACAGAATCGGTTCTGATAGCAAATTGATGATAATTTATTGCACATTTGAATGGATGTCATGACTTTTTTTAGATTATGCCAGTAAATAGGATAAATATAAAGTTGCTCTCTATTTAGAAATATCTATTAACCATAATCGATTATATTTCTTACATATGCACGCAAACAACTGTTTATTATACTAAAATGATCACCTTTTCATAGAAAGGTCAATACGATATTGATTAGGGCATACTTAAAATGTTTATAAGGTCAAATTATAATATGAACTCGAGAGAAAAAGAAGTTGATAGGAAAGTATAAATTCAAATAAAAGAAGAGCAAAACAGAAAGATAATGATTAATCGATTGAGGTCAATAGATAATTGGTGAACCACTGAAGAAGACAATGCACGTGCATTATTTTGAAGTATGAGTTAATGCATGAAATCAAATAGGCACAGCTATGTCCAGTGATGAAATTTTTCTCAATCTTGGAGTAAAAAAATATCCGCAACATTGTTTAATTGCATATGTATGTGCCCATAAACAAATGATAAATCATTCTTTTTTTGGTTCAAAAGATGTATTGTTGAACTCTGTGCGACTTAAAACTGAACATACTCTTGATTTCACGTTACAATATAGTAAAAAAAACTTTCTGTTATTCTCAAAATAGTGGAATATTGTACAATGATACAAAACTTTCGTTCTGATCTTATTAAAAATATTATCAGAACAGAATAATAGGACTTCAAACTCTTCTCTTGGTAGGAAAGTCAACAATACATGTTTTTAAGATAAAATTTTTTTAAGTAGTCTGGTATATGCACATATAACTGTGACTTCTTATTTAGAGCTTGTTTATCGTTTTATGTTGCAAATGTTTAGGCTAATTGGTTCAGATAGCACGATAAATTATTTATATGATCAAATTATAGAAACAACAGAAACACAATTTTTATATCATTCTATAATATTACTTGAAATTTTACTTCAATAGACAATAGTTTTGTACAGAATCAACAATCGTTTTTGATACATTTTTTTAATATTTTATCCAATTTTTTTGTTCTATAGACTAGTGATCTTACTTCAAATCATGTATCTTATCGAAATAACGATAAAAATTCAATAAAATGAAGCTTAGTTGTACTTGAATAATCTAAAACAAAAACTCATTGATCTGATTGTATCATTTATAATAAGAAAAAAACCAAAATAACAGATTTGCATTAAATACATTTATCAATATCGTTTGATACATAGCTGTATTTAACTAAGACTTATAAGTATCATTTCAATAGTGGTCAAGATACATCAATTTTCATAAAAATAAAATAAAATTTTATTTCGATAAAAACTTTTGTTAGATTATTACATATATTTGTTTATAAAAAAAAGTTTTTCATAATGCTTTCATAAGAGATGTCACAGACGTGTTCTAAACAATAAAACCTAATGATGATATTTTATTGATAATAATGTAAAAGAAAAGAGCACACACATCTCTTTATCTCTATATAAATGATCTATCACGTCCTTAAATACTCATATGATTTTGATAACAGCCAAGGTAACTGATTTAGATATTGATATAAATGCTAAGAAATGGCAAACTCACAATGAATCATCTGTCAAATATATGAGGGTGGATCATGAATGGCATAACGATTAAAAATCAAATGCCTTCACGTCGGTTTAATAAAACGGGTTATTGTTTTCAGTTAACAGTAGACGTTTATTCAAAGCTTCTTTTTTCTCGTATAGATAAGATAAGTAAATGCTACTATCAAGCATTGTTTTTACTATGATGAAAACAATTTTACCTATTATCAACTAAGAAAAAATACATGCGTAGTATTTTATAGATAATTGTCAGTTGTCATCTAAGAGAGTAAGAAGAAAAAGTCAAAACGAACTTTGCAAATGATACTATACTGATGTACATCGAGCAAATTTTCTGAACTAGTAATTTTAAAAGACAATGCTTACAAAGATGGAAATACTGTTTTTTTGCAAGGAACTTGATATGGGATGAGATCCAATTACTTATGGGATATGAATTTCAGTATTTAAACCGATTACTAGTTTTGAAAACTTGTTCTCTGTACATCAATATAGTTTTCTTTGACTTCTCATTATTCTCTATGAAATGCTTCATACGTATTTCTCTTACTTGCCAATAGATAAGATTTTTTTTAATGAGACCAAATATATCACTTGGTAGTAGTATTTGTTTCTGTTATTCGTTTGAGAAAAAAGAGCTTTCCATAAGCTGCTACCACTAAGAAAAAAATCTGCTCATTTAAGCGAATCGAAGTGGAGATATTTCAAATTTTTATTCTAGTGCTATTTATGACTCACCCTGTATTTCTAATATCAACATATGCTACGTCAAAATATCATTAGTTTTTCTTTTTTCTATAAAAAACATAGGAACATTACAACGCGTATCTCTATCTTTATTTTAGTGAGACAAATCATCGAGCTTTTTAAAAAAGTAATTTTCAAATGATATAATTTTTAGATTGAATTATGAATACATTATATATACTCGTTTTGATCATCAATTCAGTGTGTATGTTTGTTTCATATGGTATGTATATAACAAATCTTTATTTTTTAATATGATCTATATCGATTTGTAAGATGCGGCATCGGTTTCGAAAGACGAGCAACATCTTATTATGCGTGGTCGTGTTACATTTCTTTCTAGTTTCCAAATTCCAACTGAATCTGGTGCTAGATTAACTGTTGCATTACAAGATACATCACTGGCTGATGCTCCAGCAAAAGTTATTGCAAGATCAATAAGCAAAGCAATTCGATTTCCAATA